GGTGCATATCGCCGCCTGAGAAAAAGACTGCTATGACTGAAATAGAGCTGGCAAAAGATTTAACATATGAAGAGAGGCCGGCTAAAATTTTGGATCAGATAGAAAGGGTCACTCGTAGTAAAGCGAGGAAGTTCTACAAAGTCCAGTGGGAGCATCACACAGAGTCAGAATCAACTTGGGAACGGGAAGAATTTCTAAAGGCACATTATCCAGAATGGTTTTCCCAAGCAACTGAATCTCGAGGACGAGATTCATTCTAAGTGGGGGAGGTTTGTGACACACTGGTTTTTGCCCTCTCTTCTTTGCCTGATTTTTAGTTGGTTTGAATTTGAAATTTGGAGTTTTGTATCTTTTCATATGGACTTAACCACTTGGGTACCCCTTGGCTTTCACCCAAGTGCCTCATTTCCCTCTCTAACCATCATTCCCTCTCTGGTTCAACTCGAAATAATATTTGGAATATTTTTCTTTTATGAAAAATATTCATTTCCCTCTCTTAAACCCTAGCTAGCTCAATGTGCTCCAAAGCAACACCAATTTTTGTTGCCCATAAAAATCTGAGAAAAATCCCACTTATTCTTTGAACCCTAGGGAACCTTCCTGATCAAAAATATTTCACCATTATTTGGAATATTTTGGCTACAGAAAATATTTTCTGTTCTGGACAGAAATGGTAGTTTCTATAGCAACTACCATTTTACTTGCTCCATTGTGGCTGATTTTTCTTGTGCATCATCACCTTAGTAGATGATTGCTAACCTCCAAAGCCCAGCCCCCAACTCCCAGTAGTTTGACCATAGTAAGCTCTCAAACTTACTGTCCAGAAACTTACCAGGCGTGTGAAATCTTTTCTACTGCACCTGAGACCAAACCCAAGCGTGGTAACCTTCAAAACTACCATGAACAACAAGCCAGACATGAAGTTTGGGCTTAGGTCGGCCTGAGGTCAGAGTTCACGCGGTGATCGCATTCGTCCAGGCGTGCTGGCATGCAGCCAACGCGCTCTGAAGCCCGCCCAAGCCTCTGTTTGCACGTGCTCGCTTCCCCGTCTGCCTAAGCTTGCCAAACTGCGCCACGATCATCGTCTCGACCTTCTCAACTCCCTCCTGGCGCTCGCCGACACTGGAGCTCGTCGCAGCGGGCACGGGCGCGGTCCGGCCAACGCAACAATGTGGTGCGCATTGTGCTCGTCGTCACCCTAGTGCCCCTATGCCCGTCCCTGTTCGCCCACAGTCCCCGCGTGAGCTGCGTCTTCTTCTCCCTCTCTCACTGACGCCGTTCGTCGCCGGGCGCCGTGTCCAGGTGTCCACCGACGGAGCCCGAACCTCCCTCGACGCTCGGTCTATAAATTGATCCCTCCCTAGCCTCCTCGAGCACCATCCACCACTCCCACACACTCCACAAACTCATAGATAGCCGTAGCCCGGCCGGGCAGGCCGCGGGCCGCCGTCCCCGAGCTCGAGCTCGCCAGCGATCCCATCGGGTCGTCTCCGTAGCTCCAGCCCCTCCCAGGCCTGGGCAACCCTTCCAGGGCCTCCACCACTCTCCGGTGGTGTTGTTCCGCCTGGTTGGAGCCCCTGGAGTCGCCTCTGTTCGTCGTCGTCTTCTCCTCCGGCGACCTCTGCTTTCTGCCTCCGTTGGAGAGGCTGATTCCGATGCCGTCCGACCACCCCTAGCTACTCTACGGGTACGGGTAGGTGCGCCTCCGTCTCCTCTCTTGATCCCTCCCTCTCGTTTTGGCCAAGGAGCCCTCGTCGCCGGCGTGCGCTCCGGCGAAGCTGCGCCGTCCCCTGTTTCCCTCTCTCTCTCTCCCCCTTACCTAACGACCGGGGCCCGCTAGTCAGACACTCAGTACGCGCGCGAAGCGGTACGAGTGCTGGCGCCCCGAGGCTTTACGCCTTCGACGTCACCGCCCCCTCAGTCTGTTTTTATTTAAATTCAAATTCTTATTTTTACAGAAAACTTCAAACAGCCAAAACTCTTTAACCATAAGTCCAAATGAATTGATTCTTTCTGCATTGTGTTCTTTGTACAGAAATCTAGCAGCTCACCAAAGATGAGATTTTTCTATGTTGTCTAGATTTTCTGGTGAATTTCAGAAGGTTTCTTGATATTTTCTTCTTGTGTTATATTTATTTTCAGAGGGTGAGGCTTGTCTTGAGGATCACCAGGAGGCTTGTGAACCTCATCTGCACTAAGGCAAGCCACAGCAACATTTTCATGGTGCCATTACAATATTTGTGATTTTATTATTTGAACGAATGATTTAATCCATACATTTAAATCATTATTATGCTATTTATATTCTGTTAAATGCTTGTTGTAGTTAATATGCTTGATTTACAAAAAGTTTGAAGTTAACTTAGTTGGTAAAGAAACTAGGATTTATTTTTGGGTGAGGATATAATAATATGGTTATGGATATAAATAATTAGTAGAGTTATTTTCTTGCATGGGTAAAATGGTAAAACTTGCTAGAAAGATTCTGTTAAAAGTGAGGTTTAATCTTACCCAGAGGAGTGTCATGAGTTGTTGATGTTTATGCTTAGTGTGGAGTTAGTTGACTCACTCATTTCTGTTGATATGTGATGCATATGTTAGTGTTGCATGTCATGGCATTATGACACCGGTTATTTTCACTTTAAGTTGAACCTGATAATAACTCAACTTGAATATATCGTTGACCGGGTCATGGTGCCACTGAATCGAGTTTTTCCCAGTGCAACCACATTTGCATTTATGGGAAGGCCTTTATTCGGTTCGTTGCCATGCCTCTGGTCGATGCCTCCAACGAGGGAAGGTTATGGGCGTGCGGTACCCTGGCCCGATAAGCAGACATAACATTGTGTGCCCGTTGTTGAGTTCATGGTACCGGGTCCCCGTGAGGGATCGTTTATGTTTTGTCCACAACGGTGGTCGTTGTGTCTTTGGTAGACACGGGGCCACCCAGGACTAGCCCGATGGGGAGTGAGTCAGAGTGGCCGGGAGAGTGTCATGGCAATGGAGGGGTTTCGTCGGAATGTCGTTGGTCCAACCGAATGGGAGTGCGAGGCCCTGGGTTCCGTGGTGTGGGTCTAGTGCGCTACCTCTGCAGAGTGTATTTAATCTATCGATAGCCGAGTCCACGGTTACGGACACGCTCGAAAGTAGGTCACACCATGGGTCAACATTTAATAAATTTTGCACACTAAGTTATGAACTTTGCACTGTTGATGATGGCGAAAAGGTCATCATGTTGTTTTAGACCAAGTGTTGGTCGTGGTTGTGATCGCCGGAAGGATCATTGTTTAAGAACAAATATTGGTCATGGTTGTGATCGCGGGAAAGATCACGAGATATCTCTAGTTAAGACCACGAGGGTGGTATGTCTGTGATCCAAGAGCGATCACCGTTGTTAAGCCAGTCCGAGGGACTTTTATCACAATAGCATGGTCACATCATGTTGGATATATTGTTGCATTATTATGAATTGGTTAATTCTCATGATATTGTTTGTCATTATGTTTATGCTTGTTGTGAGCTTGCAAGTACATTCAATGTACTGACCTGGCGTGTCATGCCAGATTTCAGGAAAGTCTCGTTGGAAAGGAGTGCTGTCCGAGTCTAGATCGTGTCCACATCGGTGTCCCTATGCTATGGAGTTTCCGCTACGATGTTGTTCCGCTGCCGCGTAGTTGTTATGATCGAGGCCCCTTTATGTTCACTAAATAATGCACATATTGTTCAGCCGCACCGTGTGTGCCGCTTGGCCTCGCCACCTGTTGTAATGTAAAATTTGATCCGCTAGCATCAATAAAGTGGTTGTTTTCTGTACCAAGATATTGTGTGTTGCCAGAAGTCATGGTCTATGGGCTGGCAATGCATGGTATACCGGTTGCTCTGAGCCGAGGTGCCACACACAACCTAGAATGAAAAATCTTGGTAGCAAAGGAAAATGTCGAGGAATGAGAAAGACCACATGTCTCTGTCTAAATAGCATAGTTAGTATTACAACAAACAAACCAGCGCCAGCTGCCCTATCTGGACCTTCAAATCAAGACCTGGTTTAATCTGATCGGGCCAAACTAATCAGTTAATTTTCTATAAGGAAGCATATAGTTAGATTGTACGCTCAAGATCGAATACTGCAGTTTGAAGGGACTGTCCAATCTACATAAATCATGACCACGTTTTCTACATTTCCTAACTAAAACAACAATGTCTGACCATTGGCTTACTCATACTATAATACAAATTGCAAACTGCTGACAAGTGTTGACCTGTCATTGGTTTTTGATGACCATATAAATTTACTTTGGTGAAAAGAAAATTTCAGTCACAGTGATAGCTCCAGCCTCCAGCCAACAACCAAAAAAGTAGTCTCATTGGTTATAAACATCGAGCAGTCCAAATATTTATCCGCTCCAGAGCAGTACGGAACATCATCATAATCAGATATATCCCGAGAATACTAAAGGTCCAGATGGGATCAAGAGGAAGGGTCGTGCTGGTGGCTGGGTTTGTTTTTCTTTTCTCTCGCATGTACCGCTTCTGGTTCACTTAATATGAGGACTGTGGGTCGACGCGTGCGTTGCAGTGGGAAAACACAATGCCCAAGGTGTGAGAACAAATATGATAAAGACAGAAGTACCCTCAGGAATTCTTGAGCCGATTCTTCGCAAGCCTATCTTTCAACATGGCATTGTCTACAGATTTGGGTCTAGGGTTCGTCCGGAGTGAGGTTATTTGTGGGGGTTTAGGCTGGGTTTCAAGGATGCTGACTCGGATTTAATTTACCATTTTGTGGAGGAAATGTTCCTAAAAGAAGTCAGATATTTCTTGAGTCGAAACAGATAATTCTCAAATATTTCAGATATCATTAACATACATGTGATTGCAGGAACAGGGTGGGATTTTTTAACCAAAATCAAGCTTGCTCAAATCCCTGTTTGATTTGAAAACTTAACTCAAGCCTTGCATAATCACGAGTTTAACTCTCAGATATGCAAGTAGAAGAAAACTTAGACAAACCTTGCAGTGTGCATCCTATTTGAGAAAGACCTGCCATGGCGAACCTGAGACTCACACAGACTGATGAGCTCATTTAGTTCAAGAGGTAAATCACCATAAAGTATGTTTCCTTTAAGAAAGCTACAATTCAAGTAGTAAGGTCAGTCAAGTTTTGAAGTTAAGCAGAAATGAAAAAAAACATATATCAAAGTTCGCACGCACTTAAATTCCAGGGATAAAATGTTTATTAGCTCTAATGGAATTGATCCATTGAAGTTATTGTGCCCCAAATCCAACACCGTCAGCTCTCGTAAATCTCCCATCTCTCTAGGGATAATACCATAGAATAAGTTCTTGTGCAGTACACTGTATGGATGGAAGGAAAATAGATCAGAAAAGTTTGAAGGGCGAACATCATTTCACAAGTGCATAGGATACAAAAAAAATGTAGACATACATAATTCAACAGATAGATTTACTATGGTACTAACAATAGGAAAACTACATAAAGCACTCGGTGGGTGGGTCTGATGTGCCTTAATGGACAGCTCAAAAGCTGAGGTCATAAGCCTCATCAGGAAAACATACACAGTACAAAGTTTCAGCTTTACTACTGTGCTCAACATGAAAGCCTATATCGAAGTGCAAAATGACTCTTATTCAGTTGGTAGTTTCAGAAACACCAAACACCATCTTATGGTTCAAAACATGAAACATGTTATGTCAAAACCAAAGTGTTGAAAAAAGAAACATCACCAGAGGAACTATAGAATATGCTTACAGAAAATGCATATTAAAAAGCTGTCCAATCTTAGGAGATAACATTCCCTTCAGACCAAGATTTGACAAGTTCCTACAAAACAAAGGCACACACAAATTAGGCAAAAACATCAAAATACATATTATTAATTAGAGCATAGGGAAATGTTGCAAACATAACAATTGATAGAAAACAATGTAAACAGAGCAAACATAGCTACATAAGATGGGCATCCTATACTGAACAGTTCATGCATGTCAGGGGAACTGGATGTTTAACAAGATATCCCCAACACTGATGCTCCATATGCGATTTTGTAAAAGATACTTTTTTTTAAGTTTTAATAAGAACCCTCCTTATCAGGACAGCCAACAAACTGTCAATCCAAAGAAAGATGCTCCCTAAATGCAATTGAAATGTCTTATTTTAGGACAAGAAAATGCCAATCATCCTTCCAACGACGAAGGACAAAATAATATAATTCTGCAGTTCTGCTAATAGCCACAAATACATAATATGATGCAACATCAGGCGTTGGTTTGTTCGAAAGAAGCATAAATGACAAATACGGGTTCCATCTTTTTCTGTGGAAAAAAAGGAAAAACTCACAGGCCTATGACCCACCCATCATCCGAGCACTGCATGCCAAACCAAGAAGGACCAGCGTGGCCTTCATCCCAATCCAGCAGAGCACCACACGGATCAGCCTCTGCCATCTCCCTAAACCTCAGAAGAGCAATACCTGCAAAGAATCCGGCAAACAAAACCCTGAACAGTCAAACCAGGAAGCAGGGAAAACAATAAACCACAGCCGGAAGAAGAAGCAACCGAAGCCACGACCCGGCACCTTTGTGATTCAGGGATGCGCACAGCTCGAAGTGATGATCCAAATTAGATCAAACTGACTTTCGATGCAAGGAAATTTCACCTGGATCCGCTCTATAATTGAGGGACTCACAATTATAACTGTCTCCCAGACTAACTTTTTTCATTCATGCCTCTGCAACGCTGCACTCTTTCTTATGCAACTTGCTAGTGACAGAGATGACCTCAATGGCGTCGATCTGAAGTAAAATTGTTGCTCGGTTGTTCCAATTGCCTCATCAATTTTACTATTAATTGAACGAAATAACAAAGCAATTACATCATCTATTTATAAAAATTAACCCAACATCCACATAGACATAAGGGAGGAAGAACACATTGTGCTTCTCTGGATCCTATTCATCGGGGATGTGGAGGATAGCAGCGGGAGGAGGGCTGGCAACCGAGGGCCCCTACTCGTCGGCATCGACCACCGCTCCTTGGAGAAGACTACCATGTCGGATCCCATTGGCTGGAGTCCGCGCCATGGTCGGCATCATCCTCCAGCGTCGTGTCTTAAGGCAGGGCTTGGAAATGCACAAACCTGAGAAACAATAGATTAATGGGTAAGCTTCAAATAACGTACACTCATGCCATCAAACTCATCCATATAACTATGCAAAAAATTTACAAAGCAAGGCATTGACAAGGTGAATAAAGGATTCTCAAGTGCTTCGGGGTGCGTATTGAGGAGACCAAGATGCAGGTAAATCATTATGACAATGTGGAATTGTTGTGGAAATCTGAAACATGTTGAAATTGAGTGGAAGCCAAACAACTACAAGGACCCACAAGTAGCAGCACAGCTAGCAATCGCACAGCAGCAGCCCACCACACATATCAGATAGGACATAAACGTAGGTTTGATGTTCATGTAAGGAAAAGGGCATGGCTTGAACATTAATAACCGCATAAGGGAGACTGTTGCTGGTGAAGAACAGGGGCAACAAGGCAGTGTTGAGCTACTGGGCTGGTCGGGTCGTCGCCTCCTCGGCCCAGATGCATGTGAAACAGGTTCGGCTGGATCTGGCCGGAGAAGGCGGCAGAGACCTCTCGGTGCAGCCACTGACGGCGACAACGACCACACGCCCCTCCGTCCTCTGCCGCGCGCTTTGTCGCCATATGCGCGGCACCTGGTCAGGATAGGGTGCAGAGCAGCCGCGTAGGGCGGTGGAAGCCGCGGACGAGCGAAGGCTCCGAGCGCCGGACGACGGAGAGGAAGGCGTCGGCATGGCGGTTCCGACGGCCAAGGCCGTCGATCCGGTGGAGATGAATCCCACGCCTCCGCGTTCTTCTCCATAAGTGTCGAGCACTGGGTCGGCCCGCGACATGCCGAGCTCGAGCAGATCCTTGGATCCGGGGCTTCATCGACAGGGTGCGGGGTCGGATGTGCAGCTGGGATCGGGAGGCGAGGGAGAGCACGGGCGGAGAGGACCAGAGGATGCTGGGGAGGACTGGCGGCGGCGGCGGCTGCCGGAGAGGGAGCGGCTGGATAGGTGGAATACACGTTTATTAGCCACCTGAGGTAAGGACCGCGGGATGAATACAAATGAATATATGGGTATTTCTATAAAGTTGAAACGTTTTCTAAGGTAGTCACTAAAGGAAGGACTGCGGGTTGAAACCAAAAAATACAGGGACTTGTTAGCAAAATTAGCGCGAAGGTGAACCCGATAAACTCAATCTAAGGTAGTCACTTAATAACACCCTACCTTATTCTGCTGACACTACCGTTATCTCTACTCCTAATGTCTCGGTTGGTAGGTCGCGTTCCGCGTTTTATTTTCGTCCCATCATTTTTGTCTGATTTTTTTCGTTGGTTTTTTTTCGCCGGTTTTTTTCGTCCCCTCCCACCACTCCCCACCCCACCGGTCTCCTTCCCTCCCTCGAACCCTAGATTCCCCTCGTCTCCCTGCCTCCAGCCGCAACCGCCGCCGGACCCCAATCCCCGATCTGACCCCCCCCCTCATGCCCTCTCCATCCTCCTCCTCAAGACGTCACCATCGCCTCCGTTCGTCTTCTCCCGCGCCGGCGCCGTCGAGGCCGAGTCGTTCCACTTCCCGCTCTGGCAGGTCTGCGCGGCCGCGTGCGGGGCGTTCGTCTTCTCCCGCGCCGATGTCGTCGAGGCCGAGGCGTTCGACTTCCCGGCCTGCTATGGCTGGGTAATTCTTGTCTTGCTATAACTCTTCACGTGCAGAGAAGGGAAGAAGAAGGGGAAAGGGGATAGCCGCCGACACCGCCTAAGCGAAGCGGGTGCTGCTCGCCTGCAACGGCGGCGGCGACGCCGTCTCGCGGGGGGGTCGCCGTTGGCTTCGCCAGGCACGGCTGCAGGTACTCCCTCTCACTTTTCCCCTTCTTCTTCCTGTCGTTGGGTTCTGAATCTAAGCGCGCGCGCACACACACAGGCTGGTCCTGGTGGGCGACGAGGGCGCCCTGGCCGCGACGGCGGAGGAGGCGCGGCCCAAGGGGCGGCGGCCATCGTGGTGCTTGGGCTGGACTTGGCGGCCTGCGACGAGGCAGCCGTCGGCGCCGCGGTGGACGCGGCGTGGCGCTGCTTCGGGGACGGCGGGCTCCATGCCCTTGTCAACTGCTGCTCCTTCGAGGGTATGCACATACTAATGACAGACACTGATACACATGCCCAATTTTCCATCTGACAGAATTTTTTCACACATGCCCAAGCCCGACTAATCACCAACCTAAATGATTGCTCAGTTCTTCTCTGAATATTTCAGTCAGCTTATCATCCAGTAATTTCGTCCATGCATCTGTATTTGGCTACTGTATGAGCAGGGGAAGTGCAAGATTGCCTCAGCGTGACTGAAGATGAGTACAACAAGACCATGAAAGTCAATGTAATCACACCTTGGCTCCTGATAAAGGCGATAGCGAAGCGGTTCCGGGATGCGCAGTCGGGCGGCTCCGTGGTTTGCTTGACCCAGATCATCAGCGCTGAGAGAGGATTGTATCCGGGGGCTGCGGCATACGGCACAAGTTTAGGTGCCGTTCACCAGCTCGTCAGAGTAAGCCTGCTTTCCTGTTACCAAAAAAGCCTGAATGATTGCTCACGGAAATCCTGAATGCATACATGACCATGATGTTCTTCGTTTTTTCAGCTGTCGGCGATGGAGCTCGGCAAGCACAAGATCAGGGTGAACGCCGTCTGCCGCGGCCTCCACCTGGGGGACAAGTTCCCTCTCTCTGTTGGGGAGGAGAAGGCCGAGAAGGCGACCGGGGAGGTGATGCCGCTGCGGCGGTGGCTGGACCCGGACAAGGACCTCGCTTCCACGGTGCTGTACCTGGTCGGCGACGACTCCCGCTTCATGACAGGCACCACCATCTATGTCGACGGCGCACAGTCCATTGTGCGCCCTCGCATGCGTTCCTTCCTGTAGGTAGGTTAGTCATGCTGATCCTGGGGCTGGTTGGCCATGCTTGGATTTCACATTCCATCAGGATGACTCCCTGATATCTTGTT